TTTGACTTTCATAATCAGTTTCCTAGGGCCGTCCCCATACCCCGTACGGTATGGGCGCCAAAACCATGAACCTCAATACCCCGTCCGGTATGAGGGTGAAACGGGCCGTCCCCATACCCCGTCCGGTATGGGCGCCAAAACCATAAACCTCAATACCCCGTCCGGTATGAGGGTGAAACGGGCCGTCCCCATACCCCGTCCGATATGGGTGCCAAAACCATAAGATCTCCATACCCCGTCCGGCATGTGAGACCACAATCCCGGTAGGGTTCCCTACGGACCCGGTCCGTCCACCATCTCCCAGGATATCTAGTCAGGCTGACCCCATCATACAATTATCAGTCTACAAAATGTTTCATTTCCCTTTTCCTCAATAAGCATCATCAATTCATATTTAAGAAAGCAAATCGTAATTCATGCCAAACAGACAACATACATTATCAGTTCTTCAGTCATTCAACCCATAATTAATAAAACAGTAATATATGCACTCGAAACTATAAAATGAACACATCAAACCCCATAATGCATTTAAAGCTGTAAAACAGGCCAAATAATAGTAAATCATCAATCACACTAGACTCGGGCTCCATTAGCAACCTTAAGCAATTTCACACATGCGTTAATTCAAGAAATACCGTTTTATCATTTTGAACTTTAATACCGTGATAGGAAATAGGGTGAGGGGTCCTTACTTGTTTTCGGGATCCGAATACGATTCACAGTGCGCCTGCAGGCCGTCCCTAATTTTCCCTGAATTTTTCCCGGGGAACTGAAACACACTAACAGTACCTGCACGTGTTCAAAAAAAAATCCAAATTAGGCCCAGGGCCCCTTTCGGACCAAATCGCAACTCCGGCACGGCGGCTCCGCCGTGCTCCGGCGACGGCGCCGCCGCTGGCGGCGGCGAGTCGCCTCGGGTTGGCTGTTTTCGACCGTTTTCGGCCGAATTCGGCCACACTCTCATTGGTCCTTGTCAGAAAACAACCCTAGGGCCCTCGGGGGGCCAAAAATCACGGAAAAGCGGAGCTTACCGGCGGCGGCGCTCTCGGGTACGGCGGCTCTCCGGCGAGGTTCGTGTTTTGGTGATTCGGCTTCGGTCAACCTGTAGAGAAAAGAATGGTGATCACGGTGATATAAAAATTGCATCGAACGGAGGCCGGGAAGGACCTCGTTGGAGGCAAAAACCGAGAGGGGCGCGGCGGCGCCGCTGGGTTTCGGCCGCGTATTCCGGCCGTTTGGCCGGGATTTCGGCCTCAATTTGGCCATAGGAGGAATCAGCGGAGAAAAATGAGTCGGGGGTATGAAATTTACCTCGATCGGCGGTCGGAAATTTCCCCGGTGCGGCGGCGGGTGGCGGCGGTCGGCCTCTGGTTCGTCTTCTCCGGCGAGCGGCGGGCGGCTAGGGTTTGTGGTCTGGTGTGGGGGTTCTATTTATAACCCCTTGCCTTTTGATCACAGCCGTTCATTTCGTTTTAATCTGGGCCGTTCATTTTTGATTGAATCTGGGCCGTCCGTGCGATTGAATCTGGGCCGTCGGATCACACCCACGCGGATCGCCAACGTGGCTCCTTTCGGAGTGACGCGGTCTTGCCACGTGGCAGGCCCCGGTTGGCCGGGACTGCTGACCGGGCCTGCTGACGTGGCCCCCCTTTTTTTTTTTTTTTTTTTCCTCCTTTCCGGGTGCTACAAGCGGGACCCCTATGGATCCCCATGGATACTAGTGGGCTGGTAAATGAGAAAAATATGTTGTGTAACGATTGAATTACAAAAGGATTGACAAGTATTATGTTATACAGTTCATATATGATTTCATAATGATGATAATGTTATTGCTTTCGTATACTGTTTTATGGATTTCACCGAGGTAAGTGGTTGGTGAAGGATTTATTATTGATAAAAGAATTTGTTGTAAATTATGCTCAATTGGTCTTTTTGTGTTTTCTACCCACCTTTACCTCCGTGACAGTGAGATATCGTGATGTCTTTACTGGGCTAGTGTAGCTCATTCCTTATTTAATCATTTCAGATCAGGAAGACATCGTTCCCGAGCCGGTTCCGCAGGAGGACGACGAAGGGGACGCCTAAAGACTCCATAGTCATATTCGTAGCTTTTACTTTCAAGTTTCTCCTTTAGGTAGTTTGATCTTTTATATTTTGTGAGCACGTTTTTTAGTTTTAGTGTAAGGGATGTTAATCGAATTTTTGACTTCGCTTCCGCATTTGATATTTTTAATATACATTTCATTTTAAATTTCCGGAGCCGTTACATTTCAATCTTATCATAAAAACCTAAAAAATTCAAGAACCAAAAATTATCGAGAACCGTAGTGAAAAATGTGATGTTTTGGACACCGACCCAGAGTAACAATCTCTCACCTTTTTTCCATATTATTGTTAAATTAAAGCTAAATTAATATTAAATAAAAAATTTAGATAATTGGCGACCCCTTGATTAATTAAGTACAGGTTATCGATGGAGCCAGTCACTAGTCAGTTTATACTTGCTATTACTTTAATTGTGTTAGTTATTTCTTCAGTCGCTTTATTATGCTTATCTATTTACTATTTTATTTATTTTAATTTATTTAATTTAAATTTATGGTTAGCATAATATGATTTTTTTAATCTATATTTTTTGTTGCTCTATTATGTGCATAACATATTTCAGTCAGCATAATGCATATTTATTTCACTCACGTACTCTGAAATATGAATTTCGTACTCTTGTGTTATTTGGAATGCAGATATATGTGTCGTTTAAGGCTAAATAGTACATAAAAAAAAATATACATGAACTAATGGCGTTGAATAAAAGGGCTACCGAGTATCATAGAAAAGAGTGGACGGACTTGGTGCATAGGGTGAACCCTACTGTGGACGTTATCCTCAGTCGTATGGGACTAGAAAGTCTCATACCAGACAGAGTTAGGAATCAATTTAATTACGCTCATACCAGACGGAGTATTGAGGCGATTATGTATCGTAGTGCCCATTACCAGACGGGGTATGGGGACGACCGTTTGATTACAAATAAGATATTTGTGTCCACGTGTCGTGGGGATCCCTATGGACCCCCAGTGTCACCGATAGGAAAAGAAAAAATTATAAAGTATAGATGAACATGATGAGGAATCCAATTTTGAAAAATAGTGAATGGTCAATTCTTATACATCTTTTGGTATGTATACTGTTATATTGTTATTCTGATTGTTATCTTAATGAATGACATTTGAGAAATTCAAGGTTAGTCGAGAAAGCGCTAATGTTTTCAGTGAAACGAATAATAAATCCACTAGCACTCGAGTTTTATTAAGAATGAGCTCCATTGGTTGTTTTACGTTTTCTACAACCCTTTGATTTTATGTATCAGTGGTAAGGTGTTAATATTCTTACTGAGTTAGTGTAACTTAGCCATTTTTTATTAACTATTTCATATCACGACGACTAAGACCCAGATCTTAAACAGCAATAGATCAGTTAAGGAATTACCTCTTTTGCTTCGTCAGTTTCGAGTAGAGGTTAAGCATATTTATTTTTTATATATTTTTTTCTGTTTAAGTTTCAAAGGCATTCTCATATCCTTTATTTGACATTTTAAGTAAACGTGTAAATAATGTAACCTTCAAACTGTAATTACTTCCGCTAAAATAATAAATTTCAGTATTGTCGTTTTATTATTACTGAGTTATATGCTCGAAATCTTTGATAGGGATTTGAACTTTTACATAATAATTATTTACTTCTATATAATTTTTATTTTCATTAAGTAATATTTATATTATTTTTTATATAAATATAAAAAATTTATAGCACATAATATTAATTTAGTATATGTAAGAGTAAAAACAAAAGTACCACATGATATTTAAAAAAAATGAAATAATTTTTAAACATAAAATAAATTTTGATAATAAAATAGACATACCTATTTAGTCCACAAACTTTGCATCCCTTTTTTATTTAATCTTCAATATTTTATTCATTCCAAAATAATCTTCAGACCGTTAGCTCCATTAAACTTTTTGTAGGGGTATGCAGTAATTGACAGAACTAATTCAATTAGTCCAAATTGAACTGCTTAGGGAGACTGCTTTGATTCTTTTTTTTGCCCCTTTCTCTCTCTTCCTCGGGGTATGCAGTAATCGATTTAGTCGGTCCAAATGGAACTGGTTCAGTTAACCAAGTATATATTTTTTGTACTTAAATTAAAATTGTATGATACAATATATATAACATATTATAATAATATTAATTTTTATTAACAATAAAATTTATTAAAACTTTAGTTTTTGTTTAAAAATATATACTAATCTTAAATAAACCCGTGAGATTGACAAATTGATCTCCGAGTTAACCTCTTTCTCTCTCTCTCTCTCTCTCTCTCTCTCTCATTCTCTATATCGTTGCCAGAAAATAGCATGCACCTTGGTTTTGGGCTTTCGCGGAGCAAACCGGTCCATGTCAATTGCCAATTGAAACTGAAGGCCCAAAATGTTACATTAAACGACGCCGTTGCAATGATTTGACGTCGTAGTGGTCAACGGAATGATTCAGACAATAGATTCCGGAACCGTTGACTAGGTAAAGATTAGCCACGAGGATGTTCTAGTAGTTACGTACACTGCTCAACACCCTACTTCTTTTCCCTAATTCCCCCCAAATCTCTCTACTCGCAGTTTCGAGCAGAGAAAGAGAAAGGGAGATGGGTGGAGCCCAAGCTTTCAAGAGAATCCCTCGCATTAGGTTTCCGCAGAGGCATCCAAAATCTTCAGGTCTATCTATAAATATCTTTCTTACTCTCTGGACGAACAGATGTGTACGAGACGTATATAAGTATATGTGAATATATGAGCAAGTATATTATATCTTCTATTAGTTATTGCAGCATACAAATTTAGGATCATTAGATTTATTATTTATGGTCAATAAAACATCATCTAATCATTCCTAAGGAGTTGCTTTATACAAATTGAATGCTTGTCTGATCAGTGTCAATGTCGAGATTTGGGTTTTTGGATGTTAACCGGCACTTTGTTCTTGTGCTTTTTGGCGGTCAAGTCTCCAATAATCAAAATCTAAAATGATATCAAACGTGAAGCTTTTTTTTTTCTAAAAAAATTTTCTTGACATGAACAGGTATTTTCTTTCTCGGCATGGGTTATTTAATTTTTTTATAGATGACTTTTGATGCTTCTTAGATGCATTAATTGATGCCCGGTGTTTTCTATGAGGTTGATATTGCCATCATGTGGTTTTGATGCCATTCCTATTTCTGTTCGTGGAACATACCTTGCTGTCTTTAGTTGTATTGCCTCTACATTTGCCGTTTAACTATGTTATTGAGTAACTAATTGTATTATACCATTTATTACATGGCTGGTTGGATCCTAAGTTTCAAATTTCTGCTTAATGCATTGCCGGGATGAAGCTTGACTAGGTTGGATGAGTTGGAGTTGATACTTAGCTCGTTTGTGGTGTTTCTATATGTTTTTTCACCTGCAGGAGATATCTCATCATGAAATTCTTCTCTTGGTTTATGGCCCACTTATTTTTGCTTGGCTTATAGGTTTTGGGGTGAAAATAAGGTTTCTTCAATATATGAAACCATTTTCTAGTTTTTATTTCCTCTATGTATATATATGCTTATGAAAATACATCGTTAATAGTAAGAGAAAGAATAAATGAATGAAAAGCATTTTTCAAGAGTGTACTAAATGAAACCTAAGTATTTCTTAACAGTTTCTCTTCATTATTTATTGGCAATTTTGTCTAGCTTACTTTGTCCCTTTTACTCCATATCTTTTGGTCCTTCCAAGTGAGTTCATGCGGAAGCTGCCCAAATGAAGGTTTTTAAAGTTTCTGTCAATAACAAGAAGTTTATTCGTTAAACTTAATGGAAAAGATAGATTCTTAAAAATACCAATTCAGCTGGGTGACCTTTGTGTCTCATTTGGATTCTTCTTTTGTGCGTTTAACGAGGCAGGGGAAAAATGCGTAACTTTCAGATTGAATAGTTTTGTTTCTTCTGTGGAGAACATATGGTTTGAGTTTTAAACATCAATTCCGTTATCTTGTAGACATTTACATGAATGTATACTAATTTTTGCATGATATTAACACGATTACTTTTCAGGTTCTTCTTCCCAGTCTCAGGAGACATCCACAGCTGGCGATGCAAATCTGAGTTTCTTCTCAAATTCACAGGCTCCTGGAACAGTTGGGGGAAAAGCTTCTTTGCAGCCAAAACGAACTCCTGTGTCCAATGAAGAAATTGAATCCATTTTGGTAATTAAGGCCGCCTGTCAATATCATTTCTGCTATTACTTGTCATGTTGCCTTGACCTTTCCTTGTCCTGACTGCTGTAATTTAATCATTAAGAAAGCCTTGAAAATGTTTAATAACTAAAACTAAGGTATATGTTGTGTGAATCCTTGTTCTGTTTCTGCATTCCATTTGTGATTGCGAATATAACGGTACCTTGCTAATTATTGTTCATGTTATGAAGCATTCAAAACATATGACATTCCTTCTTATCTTTGACTATCAACTGCTTATGTTCGTGTTGTATATATGAGGTTTCAGCATAAAAGGAAGCACCAAAGCATTCTGGTCATCCTTAGGGATTATTGCTACTCTCTTGTCTGTGATCTTTTTAAATTCAAATGATCATCAATAATATTTGAGTACTGATTTTTTCTAGTTATCTTGTCTTCTTCTTTTGGCAGCTGGGTGGCTGCATCTGATCAAATGGTAGAACTACAAGAAGGAAGGGGAACATGTTCTTTTTTTCTTTGTTATCTTCTTCATTCACTGAACATCAAAACATAAGTTCCAAAAGGTTCCTCTAAATGTAAGGAGATTACGATTACAAAATGATGAACAAACTGCAATCACAACAAAACAGCCTATATACATTTTCTTTTCCGGTTCATATCCTTTCCTTATTGTTGCATAATATGAATAAACTTCAATCACAACAAAACAGCCTATTTACATTTTCTTTTCTGGTTCATGGTCTTGCTTTGTTGTTGCATAATTGAAAAGTACAGAGATGATTTCTGCCTAAGGACATGCTTTGTTGTTGCATAATTGAAAAGTATGGATTTGATTTCTGCCTAAGGTCAAGTGACAGAAGTGCAAAACACAGTCATGAACTTACACACATTTGGACATCAGAAAAAATGACTGAATCATTCTGAAACCTGTTCGAGCAGAGGTTCGAGAACAGCAGATTTTGGATTTTTCATTGGAGGGCCCTTCTCCCTTCGTTCAAGCTCTTCGAGCCTGAAAGTTATCAGGCGATCCCAGTTTCCTCCCTCAAAGAGAACACCTGCCTTTCCATCTGTGATCCTCTGAACAATGCCGCAGTACATGTAAAATGGGTTGTTCGGATTCTTGACAATGGCAATCATACCAGGCATGAGAAGTGGTAATTCAGGCGGTTTTGGTTTCTCTGAGGTGGAAAAAGCAGGTAGGCTTCCTGAATTAGTAGTTGAAGTATTTTTAGGGGGTGGGTTTTGCTCAATGAACTTCTTCAAACCTTTTTCGCCGCCCGGAAATCCACCAGTTAACCCCATCATCTCCTTCTCAAAAGCATCTTCTGGTACATTCATAGTTGGCTTTTCAATGATGCCATAATTCTCTTGGTCTGTAGCAGCAACCGATGATTCTTGTTGTATGTTCCTCTGCAATTCTTGCTTTATACCTCTCTCCCCATTGCACAGCCCTCTACCTCCCATGATCTCGAATAGATCGAATTTAGCACATAGCAGAGATTGATAAGCTTGCCGTTGGTTTTGAACAGGAAAGGATGTTCTATGATGGCCTAACCACAGGTGGTTTTGGCCGAGGAATTGTGATGCAAGTAGAGGACCCTGAAGGGTAGGGTGACTGATGGAAGAAGCCATATCTGCAGAAGCAACGCTCGGAGATCAGGGAATAAAAGTAATAATACAAGTCATATAATTCTGGCCACAAATATTTTTCTTTTAATATCTTATAAGTCTTATAGTTCTATCTTAAGTTAAGATCTGTTTTAAAAATATATATATATATATATATAAATAAAACATGTGATGTTTATTTTATCCAGAAACCATTAACCATGGTCGTTATCAAGACAAGACAAAACAAGGTGCCACCACAATGGTCCATCTTTGAAGCTATAGGTGGAATTTAAAGGTGAACAAATGAAAAAAATAAACTTATAAATGGGCATTGAAGCCATAGGATTACAACTAGGCCTTACAAATGGAGTTTGCAGAATGCGTTGTGATGGGCTTCTTCTAGTCTCGATGACTGACCCATACCAATGTGTTCGTGGGATTAAAAAGAAAACCATAATGGAATTACGAGGTGGTTACAATGATCTGATATGGTAATTTTATCTAATTTTAATCAAACTACATTATTTTACATAATTTACATAAAATAATCAAATTAGTCGAATTTATCTAATCTATCTTAATTTCTAATACAAAAATAACTTATAAATCTTTTTCTTTTCTAAGTATATGCCCAATTCTCATCCTTAATTCCTATCCTAAGCCAAACAAGTGTGAGATAATGGCATTAGAACACATTTATATATATATGGTTGATTTAATTAGTAAGAATTAATCTATCTTTAGTGTTGATAGTATTTTAACTATTTATTTTAATTTTTTATATTTATTATTTAATATTATTATTATTGCTATTATTGTTCAACTATCATTATCGTTATTCGTGTTACTACTATCTTATTATCGTTAATGCTTTCATCACTATAATCACTGCTAACTATTATTGTTATTATTTTTGTATTATTATTATTATTTTTTATCATTCTTAATATTATTATCGTTATTTCGCCATTAGAACATCATAGCATTTATTGTTAATATTATCATTATCATTATCACTTATATTATCATTATTGTTATTATTGTTATTGTTTCTATCATTATTGTCTCACGTATCATTAGTAGTACATCCACTTTTGTTATGATTATTATCACTATTATTTTTATTATTTGTTTGGATATAAATAAATTTTGAGTTTGAATTGACAAAGATTTTTAAGGAAAGATTACTGTTAAAATCAGTTAATTTTTTTAAATAATGCTTATTTTAAAGTTAGTGTTAATTTAATAAATAATCAAATAATAATTATTAATTATTTTAATTAAAAAATCGGTGATAAATTTGGCAACAATAATAAAATGCATTAGGTTTTATGATAACCATCCTAATAAAATAATTCCATTATATTTTATTTATTTTTTTAATTGAAATTGTTATTTTAATTATTAATAGATTCCGTACTACTAAAAAAAAATAATACATCAAATAATAATATGTGAAAAAGAAAATCTAGTGAAGAAAAACTAAAAAAAAATAGAGACAATAACAAAAATATGGTACAAAGTTAGTTTGGAGTTTGAATGAAGATTATCATATAAACTATTCTAATAACTTTCATATATGTTGTTATTATTTGATTTAATTTAAATAAAATTTAATTATTCATTTAATATAATGTAAATATACATTTACATTAAAATGTGACAAAACTAATTTAATACAAATGATAATATACAAGAAGAAAATATTATGATGTACCTTTTTAAAGATTATCATGGAGTGGGGACAAACTCTTTATTATATATGTGTGTTTTTTCTCCCATTAAAATTTGTTAATTTTTTTTAATAATTTGCAGCTCCATAATTACAAAATTAGCTTTACAAGGTAATTAATTACGTGTCGTGTTTTTATTTGATGGAAAAAATAATTAACATACATAAAATAATGATTATCTATAATAAATAATATGCATTAATTATAATACACGATTCCGCGGGCAATGACAACGGGCAGATCATTGCGCCAATCAGCTTCCAGCTTTTTAACAATTAAACTATTGAAGGGGTAAAAGCGTCTTTTACTTATTAACCAATACGATCAATACTTTTACTCTGACACCTGTCGTACGGTATAAGTTCATGGGGTCAAAGCATAAAGCACTTTTTGTGAAGAAGAAGAAGAAGAAGATCATTTCTTTAGTTTTTCCTTCTCTTCTCTCCTGTTTAGAAGTCTCATTTTCTTTTTGCAGGTAATTAATTTATTTCTCTTCAGTCTCTGCTTCTTTCAGTAATCGTTATTGTATATTTAGTTCAGATGAATTCTGGATGTTTCTGCTTTTGTATGTTCAAGATTATGATCAATTTACTTCAGCTTTTTTTCTTAAAAGAAATATGCTTTAACTGTAGGGTTTTCGTGAAGCTTTAGAATAAAGAGGTGTTTAGTTTCATACTTTTCGTAGTTGGTTTTCTTTTTTATTAGATGGTATACAATCTTCATTTGACTCAAGTTTGGTTGTCTCAAACTTATATCTTTCTTTATTTCTCTACTATTTTGTTAACAAGTGCCTAATAAGGAAGAATGAGGATTTCCTATCTGCGTGGGTAAGAGAAGAACTGCTGGTTGACTTTTGGGTGGAAATCTCGGTTCTCAAGGCTATGTTTGGAACAAATTCAGAAATTTTATTAAAACCATTTTTAAATATATATTTAATTCACTATGAGGGTATCTAAATGCTATTAGAAGATAAAATGAATTGAGTTTATATGAAATTTTACGTGAAATTAGAACATCCAATTCTAAATTTCAATAGAACTAATGGAATTTGAAATGTGTTGTTTGAATGTTATATAGAACTATAAGCTCAAACTTGTCTTTCTAGAAGATTTATAGTATCTTCTAGTAAAATGAAGTATGGACTTGCGAGTGAATTTCATACAGTTTTATTCCAAACATGGCGTAAAAATCTTTTGATCTGATGGATGATGAACATGGCTATGTTGTCTTTATTTAATTATGGGGAACAACTGCCTACTTTTAGATGCTTCTGCATATACCCTAGGCAGTAATTAGAGCTCAAAGTAATAAAACTGAGCACACTCTGTTACAGGTTATATGAATTTTTGGATACTTTTGGGGTAATTATTTACCACATTATAGCCTTTGAAGATCTTTTGCAGTTCCTCACCAATTGTTAACCAGCTTCATGTTTGCTAACTATTTAAGACCCAGAAGAACCACTAACTCTGTTTATCAGAATAACTACCATACTGCAGGCTTAGGGTGCTGTATAAATTATCTACGCTACCGAAAATCTGTAAGAAATCTTAATTAACATCAGATCTCGACAAGTATCATTTCCTTGCTTTCATGCTGATCTGTTAGAAAGTTGCCCTTCCTGTCTTGGAGGCATTTGCTCCTTTTGATAGCATCATCGGACGAATAGAATAAGAGATACCTGGAACCTGACAGATAATCTGACTTCACTTTTATGTAAAGTTCTTGAGTGGCACTCTTTTCGTGCCTGTTAACAATACTACTTTTTCTCTTAAAAACTACTCTTCCTGTTTCCCAAAATTAGTAGCTCCTTTTGATACCATGACTTAAAAAGATTTGGAAATATTGTTCTTGTTTCCAAAAATTATAGCTTCCTTTTGATTTTGTAAGGGCGCCAGGATAAAGTTGTTACCTCTGAAGGAGACTGAAATTTAGGTTCCTGTTTTTTTGTTGCAAAAGAAACTATAGGAATTCCTACAGCCTACCATTTTCATAATATAAAATATTTCTTTAAGGGAAGAATAGCCGTACTTGAAATATTTTAAGCGTTGTCAAGTTTGATTGCTTGACATCTAATTATCATCTTATTTTTCTCATCAGGGGCTTCCTCTTTTTCCTTAAGCTGAATATAACTTAATGGATGATAGTCCTGGGAAGTTAAAGATTTTTCAAGATCACTTTAAGGTTTCAATTTCCAGTGTGGAGACTCAAAGCAATTCTCCGTCTACTTCACCTCCAAGAATTGATAATTCTTTAGAGGTATTCTTTTTTTTTAAATTATGAAAATAATAATGACATAGAAACAAAGACTCGGAAATTTCCAGTTGATTTTTGTTTCCTTTTGGTTTAGCATAGATCCCATAGTCATTTGCGCACTCGAAGAAAGTGGAGAAGTGCCGTGTTCATGTTAAATTTTTTTACTCACCGGGGGTTGCCATGGGGCTCAAGCACCAATGGTCAGGAAAAGGTTCTTCAGGCAGCTTTTTGCATCTGACTAATTTGTATTATTAATGAAACCAAGATATTTTCTAAGCACTGTAATCTTTCTTTATTTTCAGATTGAGTTAAGTGCTGCAGAATTAGAATCACTTAGATCAGGACTTGCTGATCTAGAAGAGAGAGAAGCTCACTTGAAAGCTCAGTAAGGGAGATTTGATCTTGCTCTTTGATGTGTGATGTTGTTTTCTGATTCATTGGTTTAGTCAGTTGAATGTTAATATGACATGAGAGACCTAGATCACACAGTTAGCATGTTATATGTCCCTGCAGTCTTCCTTTAGTACAGAGCTTTAGGCATAGGACAAATCTCTGCCTTTTTTCCGTCAATATATGAATCTTAGTTTTGAGATTTAGGTTATTTTGAGTGTTTACAACGTTGTCACACTCCATGGTATTTACTATTGAAGCTGCATTTGCAATCTTCTCTGGTGTCAGTCTTGCTAACTTCACAAATCACGAAAACTGTAGACCCTACTCTTTTCTTTATATTCTTGTGTTTTCTTTGTGACTTGGGCTTTGGATTGTGCTTTTAATCAAACAGTTTTGTCTCTTTTTTGTCATGATATGATCCTCTTCTGTTTTATATAGGTTGGAACAT